GGATATTCCGTCACTTTAAATATGTTCACTGCCTATTCTAGAGTGTCTTAAGAGTTAGACAAGTGTGTTGTTACTGAAGCAGACATCTCTATCTTTAATCCCATCGTCTCTGCAAAAATAATCTTCTTGGAATCAAAGTTGAGTCTACAAATGTTAATCCTTTGGAGTAAACCATGTAAAATAATCCAATATAATAATTTTTCAGATTGAAAGTATAAAAGAAAAATGAAACATACAAACTTAAATAGACACATATTTATAACATTTTTACATCCCAAAGATAAAGCCAAAAACTAGTCTTAAAAACTCAAGTTATAATACATATATACACAGAAATGTCATTAGGAAACTCCCTGTAGAGCTATCTTAAACAAAATTTCCTTTTTGCAAATACGGAGAGTAGGAAGGTAAAACAGGTCCTGTCTGGTGGTAGATAACAGAGAGAAGGGGGAGGATATAAGGAAAAGGTGTAGAATGGTGAATGTAGTGGAAATATTGTGTACTCATGTATGGAAATGGAAAATGGGACCTGTTGAAACTATTCAAGAAATGAGGGGAGGTAGGTTAAAGAAGAATGATGAAGGAGGTAACTTCAAGTATGATACATTGTAAGAACTTTTGTAAATGTCACAATGTATCCCCAGAACAAAAATATTAAAAGTTCTAACTAGAGAGAGAAAAAACAAAAAGAAATTCTACATGCTATACACAAAAGAATGACAATCAATTGACAATAGACTTAACTGGAAGCTGGAAGAACAGTAACTTCAAAATTCTAATGGAAAGTTCTATACTTTTGGCAACTAATTTTGATGTAAAATGTATTTTCTTAACACTAGCTATCCACAGAATTTGTAATTCACCTCATCGTCACATTTCTAAAGATGGAGATTTGCAAAACTGATAGCTAAATATATTTTCTTGGGATGGCTGTAAAAATGTAATGAAATATTAACAAAAATATAATTAAAATTAATACTTTCTTCTTTAGCCAAGTATATTAATGACATATTTTCATTTATGTCATTAGTCCTTGCTTCTATAGTAGCATAATTATCAAATCATAATATTATAAATTTTATTTTTAAGGTGAGGGGGGTTTATATCTGTGGATGTTGGAACATTATGACTAACATATTCTTTTGTGCCACATAAGTTTATTTAAATTTGGTTTTCTGTTTTAGGAAGCCCCACTCCCTCTTCACCTTACAACTTTGGCCATATACTTAAGCTCTGTTCTAAGAGCATTGTTGGTAATGAGGCTGATATTCTGAGCTCTATTTGCTTGGCTCTTTTATTAATCATCAAAGAAATTCTGAACCTAGACAAGGAAGATACTTTCTATTTTTAGTACCATAAAATACCGAAATCTAGAGGAGTTGAACCTCATTCAAAAATTGAATTTTTATTGGTCTAGACCATGTGGGATGTTGGTCTTGCAGTAACTTCTATCATTCCATGCAGTTGGTTTTTCTTTTTCTTTCTTTCTTTCTTTCTTTTTTTAAATACCTGTATGGTTTGCTTTAATTAGCTTTTCTGAGCAAGTAGCTTCAGGTCTTAACTTAAAAGCTAGGCTAGACAACTAAGAAAAGGATTTAAGTTCTTATAATTGATAAAGGCAGGTACCAAAGGAATGGAATTTTCAGTTCTAGCTGCTCTCAGTGTCTGTTTATTTTTGCTCAATAGGAAAAAGTGCCCAGAGTCAATGAAATGAAACAGAGAATAATGGATAAAGATCCTAGAGTCATGGCACATTCAGAGGGAACTCACAAAGAGAAAACCATGAAGAATCACAATCTTAACATGGAGACTAAGAATAAAATTCTCAGTGAAAGAGCTGTACCAAGAGGCTACAGAAAAATTGATCAAATTTGACCATTTTTGCATATTAATGTGAACTATTCAAAGAATGACTAGATGAGTTTCAGTTTGTATTACTTGTACTCCATATAATTCTGCATGAGAAATGTAGGGGGTTGAGGATTTGAAGAAAATTAAAGTGAAAATGAGGTAAAGTAAGGCAATCCAGGGAGAACAATCATAGACAGACTTTGGGTGCAGGTTCCACATTGCTCAAATGAAAGAACAGCACCTGTATGAGAACAGGCGGGAAGGTAAAGATTGACAAGATTTTCTTGAGAAGTAGGTAGTTTTAGCAGCTTCAGTATTGTTGGTTTGTTATTTCTTATAATGAGACAAAAGCTAGGAATATAAATTAAAGCAATGCTTAGACCAGGAAGCAAGAAGAGTAGAATTAAGGGAGGAACATGGGTTTTGTGAATTGTTCTCACCTTTGTGTTAAATTTTTCAGATGGTAAAAATAGCTCAGGTGAGACCTTGTTTAAGACTGCTAACATTACAAATTTCTAAATTATATAAGAATTTGGAATATCATAAATGCTGCTTTCTGAAAGAATCTTCCCCATATGTTTTTCAAGTACCATAATTAACTTTTCTAGAGATTGCTCTCAATTAAATTTAAAGCTACAAAATTTCAATTCCAAATACCTGATATCTTATCAAAGTTTAAAATAAGACTTTTAACTAGTTCTGCTTACTCCCAGACCCTAATGAACTTGTGACATGACATTTGGGATTGGGAAAATAAGTTTAAGTTTGTGTCCTGAAGCATCATTTGCTGGGCCAATGGATAGAATGTAGAAACAAAAGATAGGAAACCACAGTAATTACAACTTCCCATATTCAACACATAGAGTTCAATGCTTTGAAAGTGACTCTCCATTTATTGTTCCTATTTATTTTTAAATAAAATATGCTAAGACTTTTTCATCTTAAATGAAAATCAGCAGACAAGAAATTTGAACACAGTAAGAATGTGATCCCTCTTAAAACACATGGAAGCAGAATATGTTGTCTCTTTAAAAAGAAAATCTGGATTGCTTAAATGAAGTTTTAGACATAAGAACATTTAAGAACAAGGTACCATGGCTTGATAATAATTGAGTAACAAGTTGATGGAAATATAATTTGAAGCTATATAATGGAAAATTTATTTTGTATAAGTAATTTACTCATTCTATGAATATAATAACTCTCTGATAACCCAGAAACAAAGGGATCATGTTAGGAAAGTCCTTAATCAGTGTTAGCACTTACTGATAAATCTCATGAACACAAGTTGAATATTTATTCTTGTAGGGTTTTTTGTTATGGAATAGCCAATAAAAAGAGAAATACTTTTGGTTTTTCTTTAACAGTCTTGTTTTGTTAAATCCATTAACTTAAATAGTGTTATTCTATAGAAAAATTGTACAAAGAAATGTTAACAGTCATTCACTTAGAGAATGTTCTTAATATTCTTCTTAATATCAAAGGCAAGTGTTCTATTTAGTACAATTTACAATTATATCTTGCCAAAACATATTGAGAAATAGAACTCAAAGTCAAGTATGGTAAGATCTTCAAACTAAGTATTGATCTAAAATCAAGTTCTGACTATGAATTTACTAAGAGTTGAGAACTAATTCTATAAAATTGATATCAAATCAACAGTATATAAATTTAATATTAGCTAAATTTTAAATATTTTACTTTAAATCATTACAATGTTGAACATCAGTAGCTGTTAAAACAACTTGTTTCCATAAACAAATTATACAGTATACTGCATTAATATTAACCTTATATGCAGTTGTGAAAGCTGGTGAGAATAGCATTATTTGGAAATAGCTCTGTATGGGAGAAATGAGAATTAACTTTTAAGAGAAATATACCATTTCCACTACCAAGACTGGGTTCTAATTTCCCCTATTTCTTTGGACTTGAAGTAAAATTAGCAATTAAAAAATTTATTAAGCAAATTTTGCACAAGATTTTCTACTTAAACAACCACAAAATTATAGCATTCCCTGACAGTACTAAAGAACAGATTGTGATAATATTTGCATATATTTTTAATGATCAGTAACTAAAGAAGAGTAATTATTATTAAGCATGATTAAACATTTGATTTTAATCAAGAAATAATATTCTCAAGGTCATTCTTTTCTGGATAGTGTGGCCACTGTGTGAATATACATGTAATTTTAGTGAATAGCAAACTAGAAACCATTAAGTTACTGGGATGTTCTGCAACTTGTGCGTATATATTCAGTGTTATAGTAAACATCTTGAAGGTAAGTGAAAAGGCAAAATAATGATGTAAATCTATTAGCTGTACATTATAACCATAGGCGCATATCTGTTATAAAGTGATTACTAGAGCAACGGATATTGTTTGATATAAAATAAAGAAAACCATATACACAATGTAATAAATATTTGAGTGGAGAAAAGGAATAATTAACCAGTAGATTGTATCTACTGAGAAATTATTTTGCTTTTAAAGGGCATGTTCTAAGAGTGCTTTTTTGTCACTGAAAATGTTACTGTATTTCTTAAAATGTTATTTATAAACTTGCTTTCCAACAGCTGCTGAGACTCAAAATTTGCCAATTTTGCAAGTCATTTAAATGTTCCATATTACATGTGAATGAAAAGATACACTATCAGTTTCCTGACAGATGCAAAACAATCTGCTGTGAGTCTAAAATAAGTTTATAGTCAATCAGAGAAGTGTTTCTCTTTTTAAATACTCCATTACAAAGAGTCGCTATTTATAATTGTCATGACAGGAAACACAAAGTTAGATGGTATTGTCTCTCATTTTTTCATAACAATTCAGCACTGACTTTGACTTCAAATAGACTATTATATTATTTTTAAGACTATGTTTAAATATTTTAATTATACTTGAGTTTTGAAATGAATGCTTTGGTCATTTATAAGAAAATGTTTATTCTGGAGGATTTTTATACTCGTTTGGAGCTACAGCTCATTATAAGAAGGAAACATGATCACTGAATTGTTGGAGTGATATCAAGAAAACACTGGCCTTACTTAGGTGTTTTGTTTCCCATTAGTCTCTTCTTAATGCCCTGAGAACAATAAATCACTAATAAAAAATTAGAAAAAGGAAAGAAAAAAATCTCCAAACCTACTTTTTCTTCAGTCTTCTATCCTTTTCAGCTTGAGTTCCAAGTTTGCCTAACCCCAGAGATTCCTGAGCTGCCGCTTCAGTCTCCATAAAGCCTCCTGTGAAGAAGTAACTATTTAGGTTAAGTTATATACATTGTGTCAAGTGATGAAATTAACTTCTTAAAGATTGAGTAACTGTTCAGTATTTCATCATATTTTGAATTGACTTTATATTTCCAGCCCAACACATATAAAACGACACAGTTAAATATATAAACATACACAGAAAATGAATTTTTAAAAGGAAGTAGATATTGATGCCCTATTCACTTGTGCAGGAACACAAATATGGAAAATAATAAAATTGGTCTGTTCACTGACAAGCACTTGAATATAGAGTCCCAAAGCCCCAAAGTCAAATTTTCCACTATTCCAGTGGATAATTAAGTGAATATTCATATAGTGTGTAAAATTTGTTAATTCTTTTTAACATTTGAAGTATTTGCTATGGGATAAATAGTATCCATTGTATAGAAACCTAGACAGATGTTTTCAATTCCAGATTAAGAGAATGGAGAGATATTTGCTGACTTCCAAAAGTTCTTCATATGTTATTCCCAGAATTTTGTTCTGCTTAGTTGTCTGACTCATATCTGTCACTGTAAACTTGAATTCAATAAATTTATATAGTCTTGGTAGGTTTTTTATTTTTAAACTTTATAATGGAGGAAAAACATTCTTTATTCAAAAAACTCTGGCAAGAATATTTTTATCTAATTTGTCAAAAATATTTAGATCAGTGTCAGTAGTATTATTGGCATTGGAATAAATGTATATATAGTCTTGGAATGAAAAAGAAAGAAAACTTTTATTTGTATCAAATATGAACTATTCATTTCATAATGCAGTTATTTCATTCTAGAACCCTAAAGATAGGGTTGATTCATATATTAGCTATTGTAACTGCAAAATGAGAATTGAGATTCCAGGTCACTCCAGGCAAAAAAGTTACCAATACTCCATCTCAATCCAGGCATAGTATATGCACGTGGTCCCAGCTACTGGGGAGGCTGTAAGTATGAGGATCACTGTCAGGGGCCTGTCCAGGTATAAACATGAAAACCTATCTGAAAACCAACTAAACCAAAAAAGCGCTAAGGTTATGGCTCAAGTGGTAGAGAGTGAGGTCCTGAGTTCAAACTCCAGTATTGCCAAAAACTCCACCAGTCTATTGATAAATGAGAACTATTGAAGACAGATTTCACTCATACCCTATTTTGGTGGACATTTTCTCACTTTGCATTTTTCAGGACTTGACCAAGGTATGGCTTCTCCTTACCAGAATGAAGTAGGAAATGTTTTGATACTGTTTTTCATAATTTATTTTAGCAAAAAATTTGTAATACTGGATATTATTAATTCTGCAATCTTGATATGAATAAGCTAATCTTTTAGCCTGATACTTCTGTTACTGAATTGGATAGTTATAAGAAAGTACATTTTAATTGAAGCAGATTGATTTCCATCTAGATCTAATTCAAGAATATGGAGTTTAAGGCAAACATTTATTTTATTTTATTTATTATGCACATGTTTAATTAATATTGAATAATTATTTTTTATTATTAAAGATTTTCATTGTTTCTGTCATTGGGAAAGCTATCCAGTGGTTGACTAAAAATTCTTGGAGAACAAGTATATTCACATTTTTAAATGTGAAATTTTCCATTATGTGTAGTGAGTGGATATTTTTATTTTATTTCTCTCATCTGTGTATTTTAGCTTACTGTGCTTCCATAAATTATTATTTACAATCGCAAGTAACTATAAAACTGTTCTCTTGAAATAGAAATGGAAGTGAATGATTTACTCAAAAGTTATAAAATTCTCAATTGCTCCATATGGCTTCATTGATGGTTGATGAAACAGGCCTATTCAATAAAGTATGAAACATTCTCAATTACCATGTGGTTGGGTGAATCAGGCTTTTCATTTTTCTGAACAATAAAATAACATTTAAATTGTTTCAAGAGCCCAGTTTTTAAAAGGAAAAAGAACATTTTTAAGCAATGAAAACCTGTGAAAGAAAACAAATCTCTAGCAGTATTTTGTTAGTCAAAACTAGGTATCAGAATTATCTTCTCATAAATAAAACTATAAGAATAAAAGTGTTGAAGAGTGCTGGAATATTGAGAAACACTAGAACAATGCAAACATGCTACCTCTGAGCCAGAGAAAAAAATACATGTAAGGATGGCTGCCCAGTCCCAATGACCTTTTGCTAATATCCAGCACCTGTCAAGCACCTTCCTCCAGCCCCCTTCACAGTCATTTTTCCTGATGCCCATCCACATCCAACTTTGCTTTTTCTGCCCCAAGGGCTTAAAAACCCCAGCTTATACAAGAGGCTGACCTCGCCTCTCTCAGAGCATTACTCTGATGGCCGAGGGTCCTTCTCAGGTCTCCTCTCTCTGATAAAGGCCTGCTGCTCGTAAAGGTTGCAGATTCTTTCTGGTCTCTCTCTCTCTCTACTGCTTCGTTTTTCTTTTAAAGAATTTAGAAACATTAATTACTCTAGAATCCCACAGTCTGTTGTCAAAGGACTTAACAGATTATTGAGTCCATATCCTGTTTGAAAATTCCAAAGATAAAACGTTGCTTGAGACCATAGTAGGTAAAATGTATTAACCATCACATTCAAGATAGAAATGGAAAAATTAGACATGTTGAAACTGTTCCAGGAATTGAGTGAGGGGAAGATAAAGGAGAATGATGGAGGGGGTGAATTCAACTATGATATATTGTAAGAACTTTTGTAAATGTCAAAATGTACCCCAGTACAACAATAATATATTTAAAAAAGAAAAAAAAAGATAGTATTTTAAAGCAGGAGCAAAAAGTGTATTTTTCATACCCAATTAGCACATTTCTGAGTGAGGACATTTTTCCTCAAATTGACCCAGCTGCCCTAACAATAACAGGTTCACATTTCCACATACTGAGAGTGACTTCAGCCAAAGCGGTTTAAGGATTTTGTCATTTGTCTATGGTGATGATCTCAGTCTGTGAGGTTCAGTCTCATTCTTATCTGGGCATATCTTCGGGAATAGCTATTTACCTACATCAATATTTTACTCTCCAACAGTGTGTGATTTTTGAGAAATTGAAATAAGACTAGTCCAACCAGATTTTGGAAATTTAGCACAAAATTAAGATATCTAATTAATACTTTTAAACATTACTATATTGATCATGTGTTAAAATATGTTTGACACAGAGTTAAATAAAATATATTACTAAACTTAGTTTAAGCTGTCCCTCTTTACTTTTCTAATGTAGCTACTAGAAGACTTAACCAGATGCTACATTGCTGATCACCAGGTCAGTATCGACCTTGAGGTTGTGCATGACACTGTCTTTTCCTTCAATAGAGTTTTCTGGACTATCACTCTGGCATATTAACTTGGTGAGGTCTTTAAGGGTTTGGTAGGGTTGGAGACATGGACACTCTTACGGTGTTGGGAACTTTGTCATGCAACTTTTGCTGACTCCATTTCTAAACAGTTTGATTCACCTCAAATCAGCAGAACAGCAATCTAATGATCAAATCTCATATGAAACTATTCCAGCCAGTGGGAACAGTGGTCATTTTCCTGGGACTATGGACAGACCACTGACTCAGGATGATACCTGTTTTCAAGTTGCTCGCCTCCTAGAGTATCCATGGGGTAGAACATCAGGGATAACCCTGAAGGAGAGAATACTGGACCCAGCCTTACACGGTTTATTTGGATCAGAAACTCTGGCTAGGTAACAATGCCTCCTTGCTGTCCTAGAAACTAAAGCAAACCAAGAAAATGTCTATGCTTCCAGCAACTGGACCCATGCAGGTCCAAGGGGTCCCTTTACCATCTCCTAGAAAACAAAGTGGACCTTAATAAGTTTCAAGGAAGGTGCTGCAAAGGTGGAAATTTCTAAGGCCAAAGCCACAGGAGTCAAAGAAGGCTCCCACAGGCCCAGAGTTATGGATAGCACTAATTGATTGGTGTCATAAATGCAAATATATCTCCACATTGCCCAGACCTTAGATTTCTTTCAAAATAACTAATTCATGTTGGTCCTTGAGCTAACAAGTCTATAGGAATTTCTTGCCACAACCTACACTGCAAAGACTCTGCCCCTTCATTTGTCCAGCAGAGCTCCCTGTCATTGTATTAGTATGGAAGCTCTAAATCTAGAAAAATTAAGGCTACAATCAGCTTCTAATCTATGGCAGAAAGATGAAGATCTTTCTCCAATTGCCCTTTCTTCAGCATTCATTAATACCACTAAGTTTTGTATTCAAACACACATCAGTTATTTTTGTTTGTTTGGTAGTTATCTAGACACGGCCCCTTGGTACAGGGCTTGGGTCATAAATACATTCATGATTGAAGCTAAGTATGAGTTCTTCAGAGCAAAATCCTTTCCCTATGCAGAGCATGAGCTATTCATACTTGGTGGAATTTATATATTGTATTTGTTGGTTCCAGAGCATCAATAAACAATCTAAAATTTTGGGTAATGGCCAAAACAGCAACCCAAATTTTATGTGTAGAAAGATACTTCCTAATTAATACTTGCATATTGTTGGCACTATTTTTATCATTATGAAATTTTTTTCTTATATATTATTTGCTTATAATAGTGGGTCAGTGGGTTCAGAAAATCATAATATGATCTGGCAGATGACTGTAAACTAGAGGGAATTACTATTTAATACACAAAACAAAAGCTTTTTAAAATGTATTGCTTCTCTAATGCTCTTAAAGAAATTGCTAGTCTTTTTTATTTACTTAATGATAAAATGCATTTTATAATTATTGGGCCTTGTGATTTTTCAAAGTAGAAATACTTTTTTCTGTTCTTATACTTTTTTCATAGCTTTGCTGAATTTGGCTCTATTTCATCAATCTTTTGTTTTTGAAAATATGCCTAGATTCCTATTACATTTTTTGCAATTCCTCTTCTTTATCATGATGATGAATCATCTCTTCTGGAGAGAGGAAAGGTGTTTTCCAGGTGGTAAGCTCATGAATATGTCTTCATTATGTGGAAGAGATGGGTCCCCGAGAAAT